ATACAAACGGCTCTTGAGTCATTTAGAGACTTATGATTGCAATTTCAGCTACATAATCCTTTCCAGCTGAAAATGCCGAATGAAGCAAAAGTATCTAGAGAATGATGGCACTTCACTTGCATTAAAACAAATAAAATTAGCCACAGGCCTATCTACTTACATTTATGTATAGAAACACAGAGTAATAAAATAGGAAAGCTTCACACAAAACTTTTTTCATGGCAAAGAGATTACTGAAAAAGAGATGTCCTTTTTACTCTACACATTGGTAATGCCTGTCCCTTAGACAACAAGAGTATATTTGTGTTTTATTTAGGCAATATAAAAATTAACAAAATAAAGCTCTTTAATTTACTTCCTCAAAGATAACCACCATTTAACGATTTGTTGTATATTACAGATTTTCTTCCTAAATAATCAGGCAGATATATAGATATAATTTCTTTAAAAGTAAGTTAAATGACAGGAATTCTGTATCCAGAAAGATGGAATAGATGTACTTTTCCCTATTCCTTACCCTAAATACAACTAAAATCCCTGAATGTTACATATAAAATAAGCATAGGAAGATCCTGAAAGGTAAAGAAAAGGAGACTGGCTAGTGACCTCAGAACCCACAGAACCATGTGGTTGTGAGCCCCCTGCGTTTTCCTTTTGTCTTAGCTAAGCCAAACTTACAGCGGAAAAAGTCTGCAACCCAGAAACACAAATAAAGAGCCCAAAAAGAAGCCTGCTCTTTCTAGCCAAAGGAGCAAGAAAGGGACTACCTAGCAACATAGAAAACTTTTAGACAACTGCTCTACTCCAGCCAAACACAGAAAACATTGTGGCCCCACCTACACAAGCAAAGGTTTCCACCTACACCAGGCTGTAATGACACACCCCCAGTTCCCCTAATCCCTCCAATGGATAAGCATCAGAGAAGGCGAGGTAGAGACCCAGGACTTTCATCCTAGCCACACAGGAATAGACTACCACCACAAACTCACCCCATCCCTGTAGAATCAGTGGAGATCATGTGGGGAGCCATAACATGGCACTCTTATTCCCTTTATTCCCTCCCCCCACCACCTCCAGCCAGGGAGGCATCTGTAGAGGTCTAGTGAGGAACCAGAACTCTCTCCTCCGTTTAGCCAACTATGAGAAAGCACCCTCTCAGGTGTCAATGGAGACTAAATGGATAACCTAGACTTCTACCCTCAGATGATATTAAGGTGTTGGTACACATTCCCTTTAAGAAGCCAGCCAAAAAACAATTTAAATATGATCCATAGTCTCATAATACTCAAAGTGTTGAGGTTTCAATCAAAAGTTATTCATACCAAGAACCAGAAAGACATGAGCTGAATAAAAAAAGACAATCAATAAGTACATGCCAACACCAAAATGAAAAAGATGTTATGATTCTGACAGATTTTAAAGCAGTCATCATAAAAATGTTTTGAACAAGCAACATGAGTCCACCTGGAAAAAGCAAAATCTCTCAGCAAATAGAAGATATAAATAAGAACCAAATGGAAACCTTAGAACTGAAAAAATAGAATAACCTAAATTTAATAACTTAGTGAGATCACACTATACATTTTTACTTTTTTGACCTAATACCTAATGAAAATCTAGGTTTCTCTGTATACACACATACAGCATTTATTAGCTGTAGTATTCCACTGTATGAATTAGCTATAATTTAATCTTTGATTAATGGCACTTATTTTTATTGTTTATCATTTTCACTATTATAAACTGTGCATATTTACATAATTATGTCATTTTTGCATGATTATCTATCATAATTATCTGTCATTTTTACTAAATGACATCACCAAAAATAACAGTGGTAAGTTAAAGGGAATGCACAGTTTAAATATTTTCATACACATTGTCAAATAATCCTCCAGAAAAGTTGTACCAAATACATTCCCATTAATAAGTGCATGAGTTTATCTACTTTCTCACATCCTTACCAACAATGGGTAATGGCTCAATGCTTTTCCTAATTTTCTAATTTGAGAGATATCACTATTATTTTACATACATTTCTTCATTACTAATATGGTAAGTACATTTTCATATCTTTAAAAGCCCGAAATAGTCTTTCTTTTAAGAATTACCAAAGCAAGTCTTTTGTGAATTCTCATTGTATATCTCACCATTAGAAAAGAGCCCTTGTTATTTCACAAATATAAGCTGGCTGACCTAACAACGTACAATACATTTTCAACCATTCTGTGTTTTTTAACTTTGATGATGCTTTTTTCTCTAATTGGCTTAGATTTCATCTTGATAAATCAAACATAACTAAATCTAAGTCCTGTTAAAATATAAAGACATCAACATAAACACTCAGCCCCAATTAGTTTTAGAGCCAAACAGTCATAAAATCACCATTCTTACTACTGATTGCTTTCTAGAATTGATCTGTTTTAATGAGAGTAAAGAAGAGGATGCTGGCACTTACTCTTCACCAAATATTCAATTAACAATAGCCTTCTCCAGTTTCCCCAGGTTGTAATGATGGGACTTCTGACTCCACTGTTCAATAATATTCCATGTCCCCTTATCCCACTCCTACTCTAAATCCAAGTCTGACTGTTGACTTAACAATCTACCTTCTAGCCCTTTTATCTACTGGAGGCTAGACCCCTCCCTATGGGCTTTCACTGTTACTCGGGAACCCTATCTTGAAATAACCAAAACTCTGAAAACTCCCAGCCTGCCAACCTGACATGGGTCATTAATATAATTATCTAAAGATTCCTACTACCATGTTCTGCCTCTCTTTTGGAGAATGACCTGTATTTAGTAAAGCTACCTTGAGTACCATAATTTGGACAATTAGTCAACTCACTTGAGCTATTATTCAGCTGGGAATAGAAAATGAAACAAATGCAACGCATTACTCATTTTTTTTCCTCCTGGACATCTGTTCTCCCTGCTTACTTCTTTCCCCCCCGCCAACCAGTCATGGGTTCTGGCATACCTGAACATACAAGGCTGCCTGGTTTATGGCAAGCAGCACTAACACTGTTATAAAAAAATAAGCACAATCACTGGAATTGTAACTTCTGTGAAAGTCACATACAAAAATCATAATGAGAGAAAAAGAGTTTAAAAGGATACCTTTTAATAATTTGAAAAAATTCAAAAACATCTCTTTATACATATACATCCTAATATTATTCCAATATTTCATAGAATAAAAAAATTGTCTATAGGTTATTTAACCAGACCACAAATGTTTATCAGTGCTTTCCTTAACTAACATATTAAAGACATACGTGACATCAATAACCATAATTACAGTATTAATCATAATTCAATGAGAGAGAAAGATGGGGGACAGGCAGAAGAAGAGGGAGAGAGAGACTTAAATTTTTCATCTTCTTCAGTCTAACATTTTAAAGTCATAAATTTCTTTTTTTCAACTAATTTTATTCTTGTTCCAGGATACTTCCATGCTAAGAAAGAATAGAATTTTTTAATTACAAATGTCATGGCTCAGTTGGTTAAGCATCCAACTCTTGATTTTGGCTCAGATCATGATCTCAGGGTTGTGAGACAGAGCCCTACAACAGGCTCTGCACTGGGCATGGAGCCTGCTTAAGAGTCTCTCTTCCCCTCTCCTTCTGCCCCTCCCTCACCTTTCTCTAGCTCTCTCTTTAAAAAATGTCAGATCAATAGCCAGAAAAATTACCATATGCTCCAATATATGTACTCAGACAGGAAGGACGACATCCCTAACTAAAGAAATATAGCAAAAGTTTATCTTCATTTCCTTAGCAATCTACAAACTAAACTCCACTGAAGTCAATTTTACAAAGTATCAAAGTATTATCCTACTGAATCAGGAAAAAATAGCCAGTAAGGATATTATTAGGTTAACTTAATGGCTCTCAACCAGGGGCAGTTTTGCCCTCCAGGAAACATTTGCTAGGATCTAGAAACATTTTTGGTTGTCACACTGGCAAGGAGGAGGGCCACAGCCCAGTAGTGTATAGTGGATAGATGCTAGGATGCTAAGAAGCATCCTATAATGCACATGATAGCCTCCCCCCACAATAAAGAATTATCTAGTCTGTAACATCTATAGTGATGAGGTACAGAAATCTGGAACTAATGAAATGTGAATACAGATTATACTGAATCAATGTAAAATTTCCTGAATCTGATCATTTTCATGTTGCTCTAAAAGAAGGACTTTATTCCTAGAAAATACATACCAAAGTATTTAGAAGTAAAGGAACATGTCTCAACTTACCTGCAAATGGTTCAGAAAAAGAAATGTCTATATGTATATATGTAGAGAGAAAGGAAGAATTATAAAGCAATGAGCCAAATGCTAACAACTGGTGAATCTGAGTAAAGAATATACAGAAATGTTTATTATTCTTGCAATTTGAAATTATATCAAAATTAAAAGTTAAGCAAGTATTACCATGCCTATAAATTTCTTTTAACTGGGAAATTTTGCAAAATTTCCCAGTACATATGTGTAATATAGCAAATCAGATTTACTCCTTTCTCAAAATAAATTACATTATCTTGAATGAATACTTATAAATTTGATCAAGATAAGCAAGCATAACCTGAAAAGTATTAATTTCTAAAATGTGAGGTGCCCAGAAAAAACTAGAAACATTTAGATGTCTACCAAGGATTGATTTTCTTTATGTATCACTGTAAATGGCCTAATACCCCTTGCATTATATTTCAGGCTTTCAATACACACAAAAACTTCAATCAATTTGAACCACAGAAGATCTAAACAAAATCAGTGGGAAACATGTATAAGAAATAATACAAAAACATTTTTTTTAAGACTCAGATTTTCAGAAGCTTAACATAGTTCTGAATTCTTAAAACTTACCATTCCTATTTCTAGGCACTTGTTATGTAGCAATCAACAAATACACAATAGCAACTTTATAAATAGTAACAGTTTACTTTTGGAAAATAGTTATTAAAATTTTTAGATCCAGGAAAAAATTTAGGGCACTTACAGATGTCTGGGACATACTTGACTGTTGTGTGACACTTCCTGTGGGAGATGTAGATGGTCTTCCACTGGACAAACTTGCCTAAAATAATAAGATCTTTATAATAGGTCTATAAAAATCTGAAGTTAAAGACTTTCTGGTACCAGGATACCACAAAACCACAAAAGTCAAAACATCTAGGTTACAGGAAAAAAAAAAAAAAAATCTAGGTTATGAACCAATTCATTTCACAGTCAATATAGATTAAGCTTTGGCCAAACAAATTAAGAAGAAAAGAAAAATATGATTGACAAAAAACAGAGGACCCAAAGGCTAATCTTATTTTAATAGCTGCATTCATTGTCAGTTTTACTCCGCAGCTCTGTCTTCTATGAAGTGGAACCACTACTCCAACATTATGAAAAAGAAATTGGAGCTACATCAAGTGCCACTGGGTTTCAGTTTCCTAACTTGTATCATGAACCCAAGGTTATTTAAAATTACACTACGAAGAAGAAGGAACAGCTGGGGATGTGTTTCTAACAGAAATAACTCTTTTTCAGATTTAATCAATTGAGATCCTCCTCTAATAAGATTTAAGATTAAATCTCATCTATGGTTTTATTTAAATAAACAGTATAATAATAATGAAAATCTTTTTTTAAATAAATATTTAATCATAAAATTATCCTGTTATCAGTAGGAACAGTATGCATGGATATTAGAAAGGATACATATTTTATATAGAAAATGAACATATATTTTATATGAAAAATTTCTGGAGAGATACATATTAAACAGTGGCCATCTGCTAAAGTGGCCAACTCTGAAGAATGAAAAATACTAGTGAGTCAGGAAAAGGAATACCTTCACTTCTTTTTAATGAATGTAAATTACTTACATTAAAAAAAAAAAAAACTTTTTTCGTTGAAATGTAAATACAATTCATGCAACCCTAAGTATTCACTGTTGTACCTAGAATTTTATACAATATGGGATCCCTGGGTGGCTCAGTGGTTTAGTGTCTGCCTTCAGCCCAGGTTGTGATCCTGGAGTCCAGAGATCAAGTCCCACATCAGGCTCCCTTCATGGAGTCTGCTTCTCCCTCCGCCTGTGTCTCTGCCCCTCTCTCTCTCTCTGTGTCTCTCATGAATAAATAAATAAAATCTTAAAAAAAAAAAAAAACAATTTTACACATTAAAACCATGATACTAATATTTCTGCAATGCAGATAAAAAGTAGTGGGATAAAAGCTAGTAACAGAGTACTATATAAAATATATCCACAATTGCTGTAATTAGCTTCTATTTGGCCATCTATTAATTTCTTTAAGAAAAAATAATCACAGGACATTTGAGAATTCTGAAATAATACCCAACATATTTATTTTCAGTAATTATCTGCAAATGTCAATTTTATGTCAACTTTCGCCTCATAAATTCTTAATTTATTTAAGTCTCACCTGAACAGCAGCAAGGCTCTGAAGCTGGGAGCTGCTTAAGTGCTGCTGCTGAAGAGCTGCTGTGTGCAGCATCAAGTGTTGCTGCTGAGCTGCATACATTTGCTGAAGGTACTGAGCAGCTGAGCTCGGGGGGCGATGCAAGGCCTGTTGAATTACCTGTGATGAGTCGATTGAATCAAGGTCAAACCATGATCTTAAACATTAACTTTAACCATAAAATAAAGTATAAAAAAACTGTCAATTCAAAATTTCACTAAAAAAAAATAAATAAAATTTCACTACTTTAATATTCAATGTCAAGTTTATTAACATAGTTCTCTCCTAGTTACCTATCACTAAGATTCACTAATCTATACAAATTAAAAACACCCAGAAGAGGCAATTCACAAAAGAAAAAAAGAGCCAAATAAGACTTGAAAAGATCTTCAATCTCATTAGTAGTCAAAATTTACAAATTAAGGGGTTCCCGGGTGTCTCAGTGGGTTGAGTCTGCCTTCAGCTCAGGTCATGATCTTGGGGTCCTAGGATGGAGCCCCACATCAGGCTCCCTGCACAGAGGAGAGCCTGCTTCTCTCTACCTCTTCCCCTCCCCCTGCTTGTGTTCTCTGTCAAATAAATAAATAAAATCTTTTAAAAAAATTTACAAATTAAAGATTCTATTTTCCAACTTTCAGATGAATAAAGATTGAGAAGAATATTACCACGAAATGGGGAAACAGAAACTCCTAGTGTTAGTAAGAATGTAAATTGGTTTAACTTTTTAGATAAAACTTAATAGAATTTGGGGCCTGGGTGTAGAGAGGAATACGCATAACCCTACAGCCATTACAAATAGTAACGTAGAGCACCCAGGTGGCTCAACTGGTTGAGGGTCTGGCTCCTGGTTTCCACTCAGGTCATGATCTCAGGGTCACGAGATCGAGCTCCACATCAAGCTCCACACTGGGCACAGAGCCTGTTAAGATTCTCTCTCCCTCTCCACCCCTCAAACTCTCACTCCCTCAAAAATTTAAAAAATAATAATGTATATCAATGCTGCCCAATATAACAGCTACTAGTCACATTATCTCCTGAGGACTTACAAACGTAAAATGTAGCTAATGGAACTAAGAAAATCAGTTTTTAATTTTGCTAAATTTTAATATAAATAGCCACATGCACCTAGGAGAATACAGATATAGCTATATTTATCAAAAATGACAGAAATTCCCTAATCTATCATTAGTTGAAAAAAGCAGATTACTAAAGTGTATAAAGATACCATCTTATATTAAAACATATTTGAAAGAAAATTCAGAAAAACATTAAAAGACTACCAATAGATAACTAGACTCGAGGTGCTTTTTACCTTCTCGTTTTTTTTTTTTTTAAGATTTTATTTGAGAGAGAGCAGGAGACCACAAGCAGAGAGATCAGCAGAGGGAGAGGGGGAAGCAGACTCCCCACATGGGGCTCGATCCCAGGACCCTGGGATCATGACCTGAGCTAAAGGCAGCCGCTTAACTGCATGAGCCACCCAGATGCCCCAGCTTTTTACCTTCGCATTTGTACTATTCTTTAAGTGTCTGAAAAAAAATCTACTAGTATAATATTAATAATCATAATTATTTCATGTTTCAAATTATTTCATGTTTTAAATGATTAAATAATTACTTCTTAAAATGTTTTTTAAATGTCAGATTCCTTTCAACATAGAATAAAATTATTCTAAAAAAAATTCCTGAAAAAGTGTTAATTACTGTGAATATTTATTGGTAAAATATAAAATATAAGCCCGAAACTTCATAAATAGATAAACATAGAAAAGTCAAGTATGGGATGCCTGGGTGGCTCAGTGGTTGAGCGTCTGGCTTCAGCTCAGGGCATAATCTCGGGACCCAGGATCGAGTCCCATATAGGTGTCCCCGCAGGGAGCCTGCTTCTCCCTTTGCCTATGTCTCTGTCTCTCTCTCTCTGTCTCTCATGAATGAATAAATAAATAAAATCTTTAAAACAAAAAATCAAGTATTCCAAAAACAGAGAAAAATCCTTTATCTGTCCAAACCCATAAATCAGACTAAGCCAGTCTTCTGCAACCACATCCCAAAGTCACATCATGCCCACAGTGACTCTGAAACAGCACAGAACCCTAATCTCAGCATCAAACTACAGAGTTTTCAGAGCTAAGGGGGTAATAGAGCCATAATCCTACAGCTTGAGGTCTGAGTCAGGACACCATGAACCCCAAAGCAATGAATCTCTTTATACAAATTCCAAGAAAACATATTTCCTTGCGTTTACTTTCATATATTCATATCTCTCCAACTGTAGATTGCTAAACCTGCTACAGATTCCTGTCACAAAATCAAAATAGGCTTTTGACTCCTACTTACAGGAGACTATAGACCAGCATTAAGTGATACAGAATTATAACAATATGTCTTCTTGGTCAGGTAAACCTATATATGTTCTTTAAATTCCATAACAAAACTAAAATCAAACTGAAATAACAAATGAATAATCTATTTGACACATTTTTTTTTTTAATTTATGATAGTCACACACACAGAGAGAGAGAGAGGCAGAAACACAGGCAGAGGGAGAAGCAGGCTCCAAGCACCAGGGGCCTGACGTGGGATTCGATCCCGGGTCTCCAGGATCGCGCCCTGGGCCAAAGGCAGGTGCTAAACCGCTGCGCCACCCAGGGATCCCTATTTGACACATTTTTGTCAGAGTATAATCATTTTTCTATTGTCAGTGTAGTCTTTCATAACATTTCAATGATACACTCATGGAGAGAGACTCTTTACATACAAGTTAAAGGCACAACACACTGTTCTTGTATTATTTCTCTAAATAAACAAAGAGGGCAAAGAGAATTCACAGGATTGAACAAGAATGCTGGAAGGTATTAAAGAACTCCTTGGGTAATTCAATGAATATTGATTTGATGGCATTTTAGGAGAAGCAATTATATGATTTCATAAGAACTAGTATAATTGCTATTTGTGAGAAACATGTATATCTATACATCTCCAGTAACACTTTATTTTTTATTAACACATCTAGCTCAGGTGAAAACTAGAGATCAAAAATGGAACATTGGGCAGCCCTGGTGGCTCAGCAGTTTAGCACCACCTTCAGGCAAGGGCGCAATCCTGGAGACCCAGGATCGAGTCCCACATCGGGCTCCCTGCATGGAGCCTGCTTCTCCCTCTGCCTGTGTCTCTGCCTCTCTCTCTCTCTCTCTCTCTCTCTCTCATGAATAAATAAATAAAATCTTTAAAAAAATAAATAAAATAAAAATACCACATCATTTGCATGCTCAAAGATCTAGATACTCTTTTCTATATCCCTTGCCTCAAAGAAAGGTGAAGAACTTTTTAAAACACATTCCACATTCCCGTTTGAACTTTTGCTGAATTGACTCAGTCTCCAACAATTCTGATTCCACCCTATGGTAACTTCAGAATCCTAAGAATAGGGATCCCTGGGTGGCTCAGCGGTTTAGCACCTGCCTTCAGCCCATGGCATGATCCTGGAGTCCTGGGATCGAGTCCCACGTCCGGCTCCCAGCACGGAACCTGCTTCTCCCTCTGCCTGTCTCTGCCTCTCTCTCTGTGTGTCTCTCATGAATAAATAAATAAAATCTTAAAAAAAAAAAATAGAATCCTAACAATAGCCATTATACTGGGATATCCAATCTAGAAAAATGGAGTGGAGAGAGGACTATTTTGCAAACAAGTAAGTTATTTTCAGAGCAGAATGAAGTTATGGAGATCGCAGAGAGAGTAAGCAGGTATAATGGAAAAAAGAGTGGCTAAAGGCACAACTCTAAAACCAGATAATCTACTAGCTATGAGAATTTAGGAAAAGTTATTTAACCTATTATTTTTTTTTAAGATTTTGTTTATTTGTGAGAGAGACATGGAGACATAGGCAGAGGGAGAAGCAGGCTCCCCATGGGGAGCCCGATGTGGGACTTGATCCCAGGACCCCGGGATCGTGCCCGGAGCTGAAGGCAGATGCTCAACCACTGAGCTACCCAGGCGTCCCTATTTACCCCGTTTAAAACATCAGTTTTCCCACCTGTAAAATGGAAATAATAACAGTATCTATTTCATAGAGGTGTGGTGAGGATTAAAAGGGATAATCCATGTAAAGCATTCATCAAATGTTTGGCCCATGGCAACTGTTCAACAAACATTAGCTATTATTATTGACTGAGCACATGTAATGTGCCCCACAGAGTTCTAACACTTCCTTTAATCCTCATAACTGGTACACCTGGGTGGCTCAGTCGATTAAGCGTCTGACTCTTTTTTTTTTTTTTTAATTTTTTATTTATTTATGATAGGCACACAGTGAGAGAGAGAGAGGCAGAGACACAGGCAGAGGGAGAAGCAGGCTCCATGCACCGGGAGCCCGATGTGGGATTCGATCCCGGGTCTCCAGGATCGTGCCCTGGGCCAAAGGCAGGCGCCAAACCGCTGCGCCACCCAGGGATCCCTAAGCGTCTGACTCTTGGTTTTGGCTCAGGTTCTGATCTCAGGGTCCTGAGACTGAGCCCCCACCCTTCCAAACTGGCTCCAAACTCAGCAGGGAGTCAGTTTGGGATTTCCTCTCTCCCTCCTCCACCACCCCTCCCCTAGCTTCAGCTCATGCTCTTGCTCTCTCACTCTCTCCAATAAATAAGTAAAATCTTTTGAAAAAGTCCTCATAACTAAAGAACTAGTTAGTCTCATCCACATTTTACAGTTTCCTGATGCTCAAAGAGATCATGCCTCTCAGCCAAGACTGCGTAGCTATTAATGATAAAGAAAACGGAATTCAAACAAAGAGCGTATCAGACTGCAATGCCCATACCCTTTTTACGCAATACCATACTATCTCAACCTCCACTATTATAAAGATTAACCAAGTAAACTTAATTTTCTCAACCAAGTGCAGACCTAAAAGTTTTCCTCATTAAATATTCCCTGCCCCACTTTGTCCCTAAGAGCTTTAAATGAATCCTCCTACTCAGGTTCTTAGGCCACTTGAGTTTAAAATGAACCTCTTAAGAAATCTACAGACCTGAATAGATCTTCCAAAGTCAATACTTTGGGTTCAAATACAAAAGAACCCAGAAGCTAGAGTCATTTTGCATCTTAAGGCTGTAGGGTTGAGTGTCTCCACATTGTAGCAGCACAGAGACCTTCCAATTATAATTTTCCTGACATATGGTTTTATAAGTCACATGCTGACAAACAGAAGCCCTCTCAATAGAACACTGAATAACTTTTTGATTGCTTCAAATGTTACTATTCTTATTGTATTCATTTAGAGAATATCATGTGACTCATTTGAGGATGTGAAACAATAGCTTCATTTGGCTTAAGAGAAAAAAGGTAATGACATCCTAAGTCTTAGCCTACCCCTCAATCTAACTGAAATACCTGTACAGCATGTCGGTCTGAGCCACTGTAAACAGAAATCTGCGGTTGCTGCATTCGAGAGGAGGAAGTGGTGATGGTGGTGGTGGTAGTGCTACTGGTTGTTGTCGACACAGAAGATGTGCCAGGGTTTGGTTCGCTATCCATAGCTGTACTGTGGTCCTTGAATCTGTCAGATAACACAAAGGATCTGCATTGGCAAAACATTATTTTATGGGCTTAAAGAATATTTAATTATTTCGAAGAAATAATCAGCAAATCTAAATTTTTAAGACCCTTACAAAATAGCATAGATCACACACAGTCACCATAAACACTTAAAAAGGAAAAGTATTTCACAATGATATAGCATATCGGATAGTTAATACCTACTAAGTTTATGTTCAAATGATTCAGGATATGCAACTTAAATATATCCCGGCCTAAACTTTTATCTTTCCATTATTGAAAGATAATAACAGGTTAATAATACTAAACTACCTTAAAAATACTTAAGCAACATCAGAGTACTTTGAAATATTTCTTTACATTCTTTGACCATACTAATTAAAAATTAAAATAATTCTTATCTATACATTAAAATAGGATGCCTAAGGACTTGTGTTAATTATAATTAGCTTATCTCTGGTTACCATATGCACTTTGCTTTAAAAATATGTTCTATTGGAATTCCTGGGTGGCTCAGCGGTTTAGTGTCTGCCTTTGGCCAGGGCGTGATCCTGGAGTCCCACATCAGGATCCTGCATGGATGGGATCCCTGGGTGGCGCAGGGGTTTGGCGCCTGCCCTTGGCCCAGGGCGCGATCCTGGAGACCCGGGATCGAATCCCACATCGGGCTCCCGATGCATGGAGCCTGCTTCTCCCTCTGCCTGTGTCTCTGCCTCTCTCTCCCTCTCTGTGTGACTATCATAAATAAATAAATTTTAAAAAATTTAAAAAAAAAAAAGGATCCTGCATGGAGCCTGCTTCTCCCTCTGCCTGTGTCTCCGCCTCTCTCTCTAATGAATAAATAAAATCTTTAAAAAGAATGTTCTATTAAATAAGTTAATTTTTAAAAAAATTTTAAGATTTTTTTAAGTAATTTCTACACCCAACATGGGGTTCTAAGTGGCACCTGGCTGGCTCAGTTGGTAGGACACATAACTCTTTGTCTCAGAGTCACCGTGAGTTCAAGCCCAACGTTGGATGTAAAGCTTACATTAAAAAAAAAAAGTAAAAAAATAGTAATTTTGTATTAACTCACACTGGCTTTTCCCCTAATTAGTCTACAACACTGTCCTTACAATATCTAATAACTCTGGTTATACTTATAAGCAGATTACTCCAGGAAATCAGAGAAACAGCTGACAACAATTTTCCCACTTCCTTACAAAAATCTCTTTTCACAAAGACTTGCTCCAACTTTTGAAAACAGCATAATTATGTCACTTTCCTCATGAATTAACAGTAAAAGTTTATAAAGTACATTTCTGTACCAGACTTTGAGTCCTTCCCCTCAAGTACTGCAAACTCACTTCATTATTTTGGAAGTATAAACCTCCACTTAACACTGAATCTATATACTTGGATAAATTCAAACAACATTATATTTTAGGTCAATTCCGAGGGCCTCAATATCGTTAGAAAGTAGAACTACAATGGTTTCTATAGTGTTAGAAATGCCCCAGGATGCTGAAAAGCACACCTGATAATACACTGGTTTTATCTGCCTTTCTTAACCCTTCTTTTCTCCTGAGAAACAAAATCTAACGCACATCACATGAGCATCGTTGACAGGAAATGTAACCACCACACTTTCAATTTTATGAAAAGACCAAGGAATTTGGCACTAATTGCGTATGCACACACATGCTATTCCCATATGGCATCCTTTAATGCACGAATATTCTTTGTTCTTTACATCATTTATGTAGATAGTATTGATATGCTCTTCAAGGAATCAAAAAAAAATCTTTAAATCTCCATTTAATAAAAAAAAAAAAGGGAAAGGGAAACGATGGAGGGTGGAAAAACGGCTGACTTCACTTTTTTTGATCAGTAAATGACTCACACATCTTTACGCTACTCTGGGGTTGTTTTTTTAATAGTTTTTCAAACTGCCTTCCAACCATCAAATCACAGCATCATACGGTAACCGTCCAACATCATACAGATTCAGTGATAGAGAAGGTAAACTTTTTTTTTTTTTTAAACCAAATTACTGGCTGTCACGACACTTGCGAAACATGTAGCAGTGATAGAGGCACAAAGCCAGTTTAAAATTGCGGTCTTTTTAGAGGGCTCTTCTGGGGGCCCCCGGGGTGGCTCAGCCGTTGAGCATCTGCCTTGGGCTCAGGTCGTGACCCCGGAGTCCCGGGATCGAATCCTGCATCGGGCTCCCTGCATGGAGCCTGCTTCTCCCTCTGCCTGTGTGTGTGTCTCATGAATAAATTTAAAAAAAAAAAAAGAGGGCTCTTCTGCGCGACCGTGTCCCCGAAACTCAAAACCCCTGTGATAAGTTTGTTGCGTAGACAGCCCCAGGTGGAACCCACACTCCGGGCGTTGAGTCCGCAGTCGGCGGGTGGAGCCGGCCAAACCAGCCTATGCACCCCGCAGCCCCGGCGACGGGCCCGGTCCTGCCAACTCGGCCGTCGGCGCGTGGTACCGGCCGCAGGATCCGCGGGCAGAGCCCGGCGCACGAGGCCTACCCAGCAACCACGAAGTTCGCGCGGCGGACTGGGGACCGGGCCCTCGGGGGGCATCGGCGCCGCGGCCGGACTCCCGGGGGGATGCGGGCCTGCCCGGGCCTGCCCGGCCCCGCCGGCCCCACGGCAGCGCCCCCAGGCCCGCGCGGGGGCACCTCCTGCACGCCTCCCGCGGGAGGGCGGGAGCTGCCCGGTCTCGGGCCCCCCCCCGGGGAGGGGGGAGGGGGAGGGGGGAGGGGAGGGGGAGGGGCAGGGTCCGCCGGGGCGGGAAGGAGGCCCCGCAGTGCCCGGCCCGAGCCGAGGCTGCCCGCGGGGCCCACCTGCGGGGATGACAGCGCCGGGGGACCCCTCGGGGGCTCGGCCCCCGGAACCCCCCCGCGATCGGGGGCCCCGCGGCCCGGGAGCCGACCGCGCCAGGGGCGCTCCCGCCCGGAGGGAGCCAGACGCCCTCACCGTTGGCCTCCGCCCCCCCCTCCCCCCGACACGGGCCGAGCGGGACCCTGCACGGCAAGGAAGCTCCAGCGTCTCCGTGTCCCCGCACTGCCCGCCGAGGAGCCCCGCGCTTCCCCCCGAGGGGACGTGTCGCTGCCCCACTCGCCCCCCGGTTACGACATCAGTCACCAGCGAGTCACTCACTCCGCTTCCGCCATCTTCTCTCCTCCATCACTGACCCGGGCTGCGCATGCGCCCCCCGGCGGCGGGCGGAGGGGCGGGGTCGGCTCAGCCGGGGGCCCCGGGGTCACGTGGTGCGCCCCCCCCCCCCCCCGCGCAGGCCCTGCAGGCTCCGCGGCCAGGCCCGCGCTGGCTGCCCGCGCCCCTGCATCCTCCCGCCTGCGGCCTAACGCTTGGGGGCGTGGGGGGTCTGTAACCAGCACACGACAAATTCGGATTAGAAATGTAGGGGATCCCCGGGGGGGCCCAGCGGTTTAGCACCGCCTCCAGCTCACGGCGTGACCCCGGGGTCGCGGGATCGAGTCCCGCATCAGGCTCCCCGCGTGGAGCCTGCCTCTCTCTCTCATCAATAACTCAATAAAATAATTTAAAAATAAATAAATTAGAAATGGAAAGACCATCTAAAATATACCAAGGCCTGGGCAGCCCGGGTGGCTCAGCGGCTTAGCACCGCCTTCGGTCCAGGGCCTGATCCTGGAGACCCGGGATTGCGTCCCGCGTCAGGCTCCCTGCATGGGGCCTGCTTCTCCCTCTGCCTGTGTCTCTGCCTCTGTGTGTGTGTGTGTGTGTGTCTCCACAAATAAATAAATCTTAAAAAAAAATAAATTGTATTCTTTTAAATGAATAAAATAAAATATCTTTAAAATAAAATATACCAAGGCCTATGTAAAGTGCAGAGAGCCAGATGAAAGAAAATACAACCAGGCTGCACGGTGGAGTGTCAGTAGGAAAGGAAGTGCTGTGGTGGGTGCAGAGCTGGTTCCCCTGGGGGTGTGTTTGGGGGGGTTTCATTGGAGTTTGTGAGTCCAAACCGGGCGGTTCCTCTCTCAGGCTCAAGGACGCTGGTGAAGCTAGGGAATCACCCTGCTTGCCCTCTATCGTTCCTGCCTACGGCATGAATTTACTGAGCAAGACTTGGTAGGGACTGCAAACTTGAATACCGGAGGGAACGAGCAGGCCATTCCACCTGTTGGCTAATAGGTTTTATTGTACAGTATGGATGGCAACTCCTTCGAGGCAGAATGAGACAAAGATGAATATAAAAAGTCCCTGTCTTCCGAGAAGTCTTAATCTGGAGAGTGGGGAGAGTTCTGTAGAAATATCCGTGCGGCATTAGTGTTCTGAAACAGATCCATTAAGTGCTTTGGAGACCTTAAGTTCACAGAATAATCAATCTTTACTGCCCTTAACAGAAAAAAAAAAAAAAAGTGTACTGATCACAAACTGTCTTCTCTTGGTATTTCTTAAGATGGTGGAGTTGCACTAATTTCAAGACCTGAGAAATGAAATATTGATATAAATCCACCATAAAGTGTAATGTGGCCTAATGAAAAGTATACTTAATCTTAGAAATCTTGTGTTTCAGGCTCTCCCTAAGGAAGGGAAAAAAACCCTTCCAATGTAAACTAAATTGTCAGTTGACCTCTTCCCAGCCCGGCCCTCCCCCCAGAACTTGGGGTTTTTTGTTTTGTTTTGTTAAACACTTTAAGTAATCTCCACACCCAACTTGGGACTTGAACTCACAACTCCTAGATTGAGAGTTGCACACTATACTGATGAAACCAGCCAGGCACTCCTGAAAATGTTTTTTTACTTTATTTTCCTCTCTCAGAGCACTGCCTTTCCTACTACGCCTAGGAGAACTCCCTGAGAAAGTCCCCTTTGAAAAGTCCCTGTAGATACTTAAAAATAAGATATTACCACCTTTTCTTTCTTTTCTGACCTGCTTGTTTGATGTCATTGTCATTTGACCCTCAAGAATCAACTGCCCATTGGTATGGCTTAAATTTTTGGTTAGAGAAACAAAGGGGAAAAAGTATAGTCTTTTTTTTTTTTTTTTTTGAAAAAGTATAGTCTTAAGCGAAAAGGTGGAAAATGCGTGATTCAAAGGAGTGTTTGGAATAAGTGAGGCAAAATTGTTCCTTTCCTCCCTCTTCTGCTTGAACATCTAAGGCCTATATCTATAGGCCACCTGGTGTCACCTGGTGAGGATCAGCTTTAAAACCCAGACCTGTGTTAGGTAAAGTCAGCTCGGTATTGCTTTTTAGAAACATTTCCAAACTCAATAGTTATTATAACATCAACCATTTCCACAGACTTTTACTAAGTGCAGAGGATTTTCACAAACTCATTTACTCTTTGCAACAACCCTATGGTATAAGTATCATCATTGCCATTCAGCACAGAAGCATAGTGAAGCTCAAGGTGATTAAGTACCCATGGTGTCTCTGCTCAATTGTAGCAGATGCAGGATTCTGATTTAAGCTTTCCATCTCCAAAGCCAAGGTTTTTTTTCACAGCAGCATTCAGCAAGCCACTGTGAAATGTTAGAAGAGATAAAGTATGAGGGACTACTCTTAAGAAATTTATCATCACTTACCTGATCAGAGGGAGGAAGGTATTTTGCTTCTTCGTGATTTCCTAAGCAAAGGACATATACAGCATGCTAGCAGATGAAACTTCTTTTTAAAGTTTCTGGGAACCATTACCTTGGAGAAATGCTAGGATCCCATTTGATTTTAGAAAAGCCCCTCTAGGTTTATGAAGGATAGATTGGAAGAAAATGAAAGTGGGCACAGGGCAACTAATTGATAAACTGTATGAATCCTAGGAGAAATGGTAAGAGCTGCAAGAGTGGAAGAAAAGGTTACGTTAAAATTTTAGTTCCTTGGGTGCCTGGGTGGCTCAGTTGGTTAAGCATCTGCCTTTCACTTGAACCAGGATCCCAGGGTCCTGGAATCAGCCCCTCATTGGGTTCCCTGCTCAGCCTGCTTCTCTCTCTTCCCCTCCCCCTGCTTGTGCTCTCTCTCTCTCTCCATCAAGTAAATAATATCTCTTAAAAATATTAAAATAAGGGATGCCTGCATGGCTCAGTGGTTGAGCATCTGCCTTTGGCTCAGGGCCTGATCCTGAGGTCTTGGGATTGAGTCCCGCATTGGGCTCCCTAGGGGAGCCTGTTCTCTGTCTGCCTATGTCTCTGCCTCTGTGTGTGTGTGTCTCTCATGAATAAGTAAATATTTTAAAAATATAATAAATAAAATTTTAGTTCCTTAGTTGCATTAGTCATACATCAAGTGCTCAATAGCCACATGTGGCTAGTGGCAACTCTATTGCATGGTGCAGATATAGAACATTTCCATCATTACAGAAAATTCTATTCAACAGTGTCAGTCTGGACTCTAGATCAGGGGTTGGCAAACTACTATTTCTGACCTACACAGTTGGGGCCACTTAGAACAAATACCACCGACTGGGTGGCTTAAACAGCAAACATTTATTTCTCACAGTTCTGGATGCTGGGAAGTCCAAAATCAAGGTGCCAGCAGATTCAGTGTCTAGTGAGAACCCTCTTCCTAGTTTGCAGACAGCTGCCTCCTTGCTGTATCTCACAATGTAGCAGGTGTGGGGACCATAGGCATTTGGGCCACTTCTTCATGTAACCCACTTGTGCCTTCAGGGCCTGCTGGGCCCTTTTTGATTATGGAACGCTGCTATCCACACCCAACTTTATGGCATGGTAAGTCAGATAACCCTCGATTTATGATAGATACCTCAGGTCTCATGGTGACTGGGTGACCCATTCAGTCTCTACTGAGTCCCAGTAGCAGGTCAAGAGCTGGTTCTCAAAAGAAAAGTAGCTACCTGCAGAAGATGGTAGGCTTTTTTTCCCAAAATTCTAAGGGCCTGCGCAATAATTCACCATAGAGCCCTAATCAAAGGCTCCAAACAGCATCCCCATCAGCAAAATACACTTCAAGCACCATCAGATCTGCTGGATCATATGGCCTAACTGGCAATGTAGTTAGCACAGCAGACTGGCCCTGTCACAGAGCCCTCTCTTGTTCTAGGGCCCATATAAAACTAGCATCAATAAATGGGACGGAGTGAAACACCCAAATGAGGAACATGTCGCCTCCAAAATCCAAGAGGCCCACTAGGCATTGTCCCTCATTTTTGTTTGTAGGAGGCCAGATGCAATAATTAATTCATCCTTCACGTTAGAAGGGATATCTTGACATATAATACCACTGAACCCCTAGAAATTTCACTGAAGTAGAAGCCCCAAGATCTTTTTGGATTTATTTCCTGTCCTGTGACATGCAAATGCCTTACTAATAAGTCTAGAATAGTCGCTACTCCTCGCTTACTAAGTCCAATCAGCACAATGTCATCATTGTAATGAACCCGTGTAATACCTTGTGAAAGGGATGAGTGATCAAGATCCCTGTGAGCTAAATGATGACATAGGGCTGGAGAACTGATATACCCCCACTGTAGGACAGTGAATGTGTATTGATGGCCTTGCCAGATGAAAGCAAGCTGTTTCTAGTGGTCTTGATTAACAGGTGTCACGAAAAAAAGCATTTGCCAGATCAGTAGCTATGCAGCAGGTACCAGGGTGTGTGCTAATTTGCTCAAGCAAGGAAACCAAATCTGGTACAACAGCTGCAGCTGGAGTCACCACCTGGTTAAGCTTATGATAGTTCACTGTCAGTTTCCAGAATCCATCTGTCTTCTGTACAGGCCAAATAGGGAAGTCGAATAGAAGTGTGGTAGCAGTAATCTCTGCAATCCCTCCAGGAATGGGCTATAGATTTTTGGCTTACTATTTTTCCAGGCAGAAGCAGTTCCAGGGCCTCTCACTTGCCCCCTTCCACCATAAGAGCCCTCACTCCACAAGTCAGAGAACCAATGTGGGGATTCTGCTGGCTGCTAAGTATATCTGTTCCAAGTGTGTATCCCAGAACTGAAGAAATAGCCACAGGATGGAGTTGGAGACCAAGTGGGCCCACTGTGAAACAGACCTGAGATCAAACTCCACCAATCATCTGACCCCTGTAAGCCCCTCCTCTGACTAGTGGGTCACAGTGGCATTTGGGTCTCCTAGAATCAATTAATTCAGAGCCATTGTCCAGTAGTCCCCAAAGGGTCTGTTTATTTCCTTTTCCCTGGTGTACAGTTACCCTAATGAAAGGTTGGAGGTCGCTTTGGTAAAGGCTAGAGGAAGAT